TTTCTAAAATTCTCTAGCACGCGCCAGTTCGCACCTGTGTCGAGCCTGTGCTCTGTGAGAGAGAGTTCTTAGAGGGTCTTTGCTAAGGTTCCACACACGTCCCACGGCGGGCTCCCACGTGTGGGATCCGGGACTCGTGGCGTCAAGTATTGTACTCATAATACACGTGCATCGTGAGTACTCAACTCATGAGTACCACCGCAGTTGAGTATTCATACTCATGAGTACGTCTGGCGCATGCGTGAGTACTTGTACTCAAGTCCATGAATACTACTGGCCAGTCGGTCACGTCCCAAAACGCGCTCCCTGAGACTCGACCGACCGCTGTCTCTGCTCCAGCGCTTCGCATATGCCACCAAAGAGGAAGAAGGCCCAGCCTCGACTAGAAGTGCAAAAATACAAGCTGCTTCGGCAGCCGATGAATCTTATCGGCACGCAGGTCAAGTTCCTCGGGTCGTTCTGGGAAGGGCGCATGACGGCCGAAGAGAAAGCTACGGAGAACCTGTGCACGGTGCTTGACTGGAGTACCTGTGCACGGTGCTTGACTTTCAGATCGCTCACCGCATGCAGCCTGGCGCCCCGCCGATGCTGGCAGACCCCAACCTCAACCCGGCCCACCTCGCTGTGCTGGTCAGGATTGGCTTCAACAAGAAGGCCTTCGAGCCGGCAGTGGCAGCGATCAAGGAGAAGTACTACGAGCTGTTCCGAGGCAAAGGGGGCGAGCACAAGGAGGGCTCCTCGGGCGCGGCCGGTGCGGCATCTTCATCGGCGCACGGCGGCCGGGGCGGCCGGGGCGGCTCTTCGTCGTCGGATGCCGCCGACGTGGCATCGTGAATATCTAGCCGCGGTGCCCTGTATTGTCTGTGGCTCCGTTTGTGTGTTTTAATTTTGGTCATTATTCTCTTCACAGCGCACGCGAGACGATAGCCCGGTCATGAACAACGACAAATCCTCTATCGAGCCACGCCACTAACTAGCACTACTGGCTGCCAATCCTCAATGCCCTCTTCAAACTCAGCAATCGCAGCCTTCACAGCCTCATCTTCCGCCTTTCGGTACTTCTTCACTGCGCCGTTCAGCTGCGCCTTGCCGCAGTTCTCGTACAGCTCCTCAAGCTCAACCCAGCGTGTATCGGCAAAGCCTGCGTCATGCTGGTCCTCTTTGAACGTGCCGCGCGTGAGGTAGCAAATGGTGTTGTCGGCAGCAGCCAGCCTGTTGCGCCGCTTCTTTCCGATCAGTTGATCGGGGTCGCAAAAGCGCATGCCGAGCACCGCCTCAATCTTGTAGCAGAATGTCGGCACGACCGCGTCTCCGCACCGCCACCTGCCAGCCGCGCCTGGCGCTGCGCCGCAGCCGCTCTCTGGCACTTGTAGCGGCAGCACATGGTGCGGTGCGCGTACTTGAGCAGGCGGTGCGCGCCGCAGTTGGCGCAGGGACCCTGGGAGTAGGGCGTGCGCGGCATGTGGACGCGCGCTCGGGTATTTCTCGGGTATACCTGGACTTTTGCGGGTATACCCGGGTTTTACCTGCAAGTTGCTCACGCACTTGTATTTGAATACATTATTCATATTCATGAGTACAGGCAGACGTGAGTATTCATATTCATGGATACCAGGCGTCATGACTACTCATACTCAACAATACAAGCTGCCAACGGATGAGTTGAGTTACTCATTGTAATCTTGAATAGGCTTGCGGCTAGCACCACACTCCTCTCCTTAAAATCCCCTGTGAGCTGTGTGGTGGCGGCGTGCCGTCCTCCCATCCTCCCTCCCTTGGGCTGTCTGTTTTCTTTTTTCATAGGCTGTCACATACGCGCATACATTGGTTCATTGCGGCATTTTAAGAATATAAGATGAGCACTCGGGGGTCGGGGGCGGGCGGCGGGGGGGGGGGGGGGGGGCACCGGGGGGACCCGGCATTCCACCTCTCAATTCAAAAACCCCTACGTACCCCCGAAAAACCCCAGGCTCCAGGCTCCAAAGGGGGGGCAAAGGCGGGCGTTTGCCCCGGACAGGGAGTCAAAATTACTGTCAAAAACCAAAAAAGTCGAAAAACCTCCCCCTCGTAAACACCCCCACAAAGTTTCATCACTTCTCTCAACTTTCCTAGAATCTAGGAATGACTGTCTCCCTCTGCTCTCTCAAACTGAAACTCTCGACTCTGGCCGGCGCGCACTCGTCTCTCTCGCCCTCTCACTCTGGACACACTGACGGGGGAACAGTTTGCCTCCCAACGGACACACCCCTCCAAAGGTTCGCGCACGGAGGTGCAAAGGAGCTGACCCGCCCCCCCGCCCCCCCGGCCCCCATGGTTTCTGGCACCCTTGCCCGCTGGTAACACTCACTGGCTGAAGGCCAGGCAGCGCAGCGCCGCGCCGCGGAAGCTCTCCTGCCATCGCGCGCGGGGTGGGGTGGGGGGGGGGGTGAGAGACGCGGGGTGGGGACTGCGGGCCAGAGGAGAGAGGGGAGAGGCAGAGAGGCAGAGAGGAGAGAGAAGAGAGGCAGAGAGGCAGAGAGGCAGAGAGGCAGAAAGGAAAGGGGGGGAGGGGGGGGCCAGAGACAAGAAAGACACGCCTCGAGCGGCGCCAGACACCGGAGACCAAAGAGCCCGCCTCCGGCGGTGTCGAGCCTACAGTGTGCATACACCGGCATCGCGGCGGGGGTACGGTATCGTGCAGTGTATCCAGAGCATCGCGTGAATACACGGGCCGCGCATACAGTGAGTCCGGCCGGATGTGGTCGCACCCGGCGGAGTCCGTGTCCTCTCGAGCGCTGGTTGGGAGGCAAGAGTTTCGTTTCTAGGGCGTCGAGCCCGAGCGCCGCGCCAGCCTTCGCGGGCTCGGCCGGGGCCGCACGCGGCACGAGTGGGGTGTGCGTCGGCGCGTCCGGAGAGACGTACACTGCATTGGCGTCAAAGGCCGTCTCGCGGGCTGGGCTGCCGGCACTCCGCGGCGCCGCGGCCGTGATGCGGAGGGCGTCGACCCACTCCTGCTCGGCCGCGACGAACTGCTTGATGATCGCAGCGCGTTCTTCGTCCATCTCGCCGGCGCCTACCACCGGTGCTGGACGCTGAGGGCGGCAGCACGGCCGCGGTTTGGGCAAGCCTCGCGAATGTCTGCACCGTCGCCCGTCTGCGATGCGATCGCCACGGCGTCCTCCAGGTCGTGCAGCGACCACTCGAGCAGCCGGAGCTCCGAAAGCAGGCACGCGGCAGCCTTGTCCAGCGCCAGCTCATTCTCCGGATCACCCGCGTCCGTCTTGGAGGCTGCCTCGACAGCGCGCTGCCAAGCGCCGAGGGCGATGCCGAGGCTGTCGCGCAGCAGAAAGGCACGGATCTCGGCAACGACGCCCGGCTCACGGCCGCCTGGACCCGGCGCAGGCGCGAACTCCTCGAGCAGAGGGCGAGCGTACATGCCCTGGGCCCAGCCCTGGCCGATGCAAGGTCGCAAGAATTCCCGTGTGTTTTCTTTTTTTGAGAGCGTCCCTTGCAAGCGGTCCGTCGTTGAGACCCAATGGTCCCTTGCAAGCGGTCCGTCAGTTTTCTTTTTCCTTGTGTTTTTGTAGAGCGCGGCGGATGTAGAGCTCTACAGCTCTACAGCGCTCCAGAGCGCTCTACATCTCTACAGCTCTACAGCGCTCTACACTCTACATCCTCTACACCCTCCCTCAGTAGAAGCCTAGAAGGTCGCGCGAACGTGCGAGCGAGCGGCGAGCGAGCGGCTAGGCGGCGGGAGGGTGAGGCGAGGGTGGCGGCGGTGGATCACGAGGGAGTAGAAGGTCGAGCGCGTGCGTGCGAGCGAGCGGCGAGATATAAAGGGCCGGCGCCACAGGTTTTCTTTCGTGCGTGCTAAAAATCGCCTGCTTTGACGGCCTTACCGACAGGCCGCTGCCTTCAATGGCCGAGTACAGGCTCGTCGTGGTCGGCGGTGGCGGCGTGGGCAAGAGCGCGCTCACCATCCAGTTCATCCTCAACCACTTCGTCCAGGAGTATGATCCCACTATCGAGGACTCCTACCGCAAGCAGGTTGTGATCGACGATGAGACATGCCTGCTCGACGTGCTCGACACCGCCGGGCAAGAGGAGTACAGTGCGATGCGCGACCAGTACATGCGAACGGGGCAGGGCTTTGCGCTCGTCTACTCGATCACCTCGCGCGAGTCCTTTGAGGAGCTTCGCGCCTTCCGCAACCAGATCCTCCGCGTGAAGGACCGAGACCAGGTGAACTCGCCTGTTCATGAATGAAATCGCTCAAATCCTGCCCCGTTCGCTCAACCCGCAGAGCTACGAAGCCTTCACACTCAAAGGGGCTGGACCAGGTGCCGATGGTCCTCGTCGGAAACAAGGTTGACCTCGAGGGCAGCCGGGCGGTCTCGCAGGAGGAGGCGAGGGAGCTCGCCATCTCCTTCGGGTGCGCGTGGATGGAGACGTCGGCCAAGTCGCGTGTCCGCGTCGAGGACAGCTTCTTCGCCCTGGTGCGCCCGGAGGGCCGCGCAGCTTGTCGCTCTGAAACTCAACACGCCACGTTGTGATCGAATTTAGGTGCGAGCGGTCCGCCAGGACGAGGAGGCGAGCGCCAAACCCTCGCAGCGCAGGAGGAAGGGAAAAGCGAAGTGCGCCATCATGTAATGTGCGACACGCGGCAGGCGGCAGCAGCCGAGCAGCCCACACGTCGCTCGCTCTCGCGCTCTCGGTGTCGACTCTCCCGGTGTCTGAGGGGGATCCGTGGCAGAGGCGAACAGGCGATGGGCGCGATGGACGGTGCTCTCGCGAAGAGTGCTCGTTGTGCGGTGTCAGTGGGGACCGCCGCGCGTGTATATGTGCTGTGCGTGTGCGGTACGTTGGAGGCATGCGGCACACGTCCCCATTTCGTTTTGCGCTTCTAGCTCGACGCGTCACGCGACCCGCGCGCCCGCGCCGCCCTCGCGTTGCGGGAGTGTCAAGTTGTAAGTCAAGAGAGCTCCAGAGCATGAAGGGGGTCGAGTGTCAGAGACAGAGTGTGTGCGTGTGTGCGCGCGCCCGCGGCCGCACATACACTGCTCTCTGCGAAGAATGTGATGTCATACTCTTAAACACACAGAGTGTTGTTTAAATGCAGGCAGGCCTGCGCCTGGATCCTGGTTCACGCCCACCACCTCGTCTTGCCAGTTGCCTGGCCGGACCGCGGACGCTGGACGCTAGACCTAGTCCTAGAGTGTGTGTGTAGAGTAACGCGTACAGGCTACAGCGCGTGGAGGCCGGGGGACGTGATTCCTACGATTGCGAGAGGGAGATGGGAGAGGAGGAGCTCCACACCGTACACATCAAAGTGACGCTGGCCGGAGCGCCCACTTCCGCTCCCCCCAAATACTGGCGACGGCCGCTGGAGCGAGGAGCCTCACCGCCCGGAAGGCAAACCGGAGCCACGCTAGCGGCCCGAGCATCCGCAGGGCGCAGATCGTACCCGAAGCGGCGGCGAGTACCTGGCCACACATGAGGACGTCCTGCCCGCAGAGCCAGAGGCCATCGACGGGGCCGCGCATGTCGAGCGCGGCAACCTATGGTGCGCTACATGGCGCCTATGAGCCTGCGGCTTATTGGCGCCAGCCCACAGCGCGCCCAGGCAGCGCTGCCTCGTCCTCGTCGACGAAGCGCGCGGGCGTCACGTCGAGCCCGATCGCGGCGCCCTTGCCAGAGCGCAGATAGTTCTCGATGGTCAGGGGCGTGGAGATATCGACCGCGACGACGCGCCCCTCCTGCGCCATGGCCGGGGAGTCGAGTCCAAGAAAGACGTGGCTGGTGGAGGCGAGCGGCAGGGCCGACGGAGGGAGGGCTCCGGTGGAGAGCGATGGAGTTGGGCGCGCTGCCCACCGTCTGTGGGTAGTGCTTGTGTAGCGCGGCCAGCATCCGCTCCGCCCAACGCGACTTGAGCTGCGCGTACTGCGCCTCGTGCTCTCGGTCGGCGTGCGGCGGCGTGTGTCGGGCGGCGGGCTGATCGCCGAGGGGCTGGTGGCGCTCAAAATGCGACCACTCGGCCGGCGCGAGGATCTGGCAGCAGTTGAGGTCGGGATGCCGTGCCTAGAGCGGGCGCGTGTCGCCGCGTGGGACGATCGGCGGGCGGCAGGGAGAATGGTAGAGAGCGGTGCGGCGCACGCACCTCGTGCGCGCGGTCCTTGCACGAGGGAAAGGTGATGCCGAACGCGCAGTGCACACACACACACACACACACACACACACACACACACACACACACACACACACACACACACACACACACACACACACACACACACACACACACATGCACGGAGCTAAGTGCCTCGCCGTCGCAGGAGGTTAAAGAAAGAAAGAAAGAAAACGCACCGCCGCCGCGCCTGGGAATTTGTTTTGCCGGCGCGCTGCAAACATCCTCCTCTGTGTTGACGGCTCCGGGGCAGGCTGCTTCGTGAGGCTGCAGCTTCAAGAGGTCAGTCGAGGGCGTCTGGCCGATCCAGCGGCTCCTCTCTCCGATGTTGTCGCCACTTGGCGGCGTCGGAGGCAGCGGCGGGCTAATAACAACAAGCGCGGGCAGCAGCAGCGGCACCAGCACTGTTTTCGACCCGGATCTCGGCATCCCGCTCTACGCCGTCCGGGAGCACTGGCCGCGAATCCGCACGCGGCTCAACGCGTACCCGGGCGAGGCGCCGCTGCCGGAGCGCTGCCGCGCTGCCGCGCTGCCCAAGAACGAGACGCGGCAAAAGGCGCCCAACGGCGCGATGACGGGCGCCTGCTTCCAGCTCGACCTGCGCGGGCCGGAGGAGACGCAGCCGGTGCTGCCCACCATCTTTGTGCCCGGCTTCCCAAAGGCGGCCACCACCTGGCTGTACGACTGCATGCACGCCGCCTTCCCTCCCGAGATGGTTTGCCCGCCGCAGAGCCGCGACGATTTTGACGGGAGGCGCTGGTCGATCGCCGGCTGCGGCGGGCGCCGCTTCATGCTTCCCGGCATCGCCTGCCGCGTGGTCGGCGGGTGCGAGCACCGCAAGGAGCTCTTCTTCTACGGCTCCGGGTTCTCCTCCTTCTTCCAAAACGGACTCGCCGGCCTGCATGGCCCGGAGCTGCCGCTCGAGATGTTTCAGCTCAAGGAGGAGTACCCGCAGGTGGCGCTGCGCCGCGCGCAGGTGGGGAAGGAGGACCTGAAAGTGCAGAGGATGGAGACGTTTTGCACCCACCCGAACCACACGCACCTTCCCGCCGGCCGGATGCACCCAAGCTGCTGCGTGGCGAGGACCAGCGACCCGAAGCGGTGGGAGTGCCGGTGGCACGAGACGCTGCGCAAGGCGCAGGGCCGCACTACGTCCATGTGGTTCCAGACAGCGATGCCGTGGGTCAAGCCGCACGAGTACAATTTCGCGGCGACCGATTTCACGCCGAACTACATGTGCACGCCGCAGGCCATGGCCAACATCAAGCTGGCCGCGAAGGATCCGCGCGACTTGCGCTTCATCGTGCTCATGCGAGATCCGATCATGCGCACCTTTTCGGAGTGGTCGATGTTTGCGCTCGGGTGGGGGTGGGACCACGAGCCGGACTTTCTCAAGAAGATGCACAAGCAGATGCGCGCCTTTGAGAGGTGCAACGCGACGCTCTTCCACCGGATCGACCTCGTCAAGGCGCTGCCTGACGACGAGCTCTTCGCGTACATCACGCAGTGCTTCCGCGGAAAGGCGATGGAGTACATCACCAACTCCATCTATCCAGTCTGCGTGCTCGGCGCTCTGCGCTTCTTCCCAAAGGAGCAGTTCCTCTTCCTCCGCTTCGAAGACATGAAGAAGATGCACGCGCCCGGGCTCCTGCGCCTCCTCGCCAACTTTACCGGCCTGCACACCGACGACGAGATCATCGCGCGCTTGCAGGGCGAGCGCCAGTGCGAGATGCTCAACGCCAGGAAGAAGCCGCTCTCGTTTGGCAAGGACAAGCGCACTGTCTCGGCGCGCGCGAACCTGTCCGCCGCCATGGGCGAGTTCGAGGCGTTCTTCCAGCCGTACGACGAGCTGCTCTCCGAGCTGGTGGACCCGAACTTCAAGTGGGGCGCCGACACGCACCGGCTGAGTGCGGACGTGCTGATCGACGCGCCGGGCAGCAAAAAGGGGCGCGGCCGGGGCAAGGGGCTGGGCACGGGGCGCGGCAGCCGTGAGGAGAGGCCGGCCGCGGGCTACCGGAAGGCAATAAAGAGCGCCAAGGCAGAGGCAAAGGCGATGCTGGGCGATGACCTCCAGCTCCTGCGTGGCAAGGCGAGGCTGGCAGCCATCGGGGCGGCCAAGGGCAGGGGGGCGAAGCAGAAAGCTGCTAGTACTAGTACGGGCCAGTTTGTACGATGAGAGAAGGGCCCCTGTGCGCTGTGCGCGCCGTGCGCGAGAGAGAGAGCGTGTGAGCGCTGTCCACGGCGTCTCCGGGTATTTTTTATGGTTTCATTATCTCTCGCCAGTGGACTCACAGAATGACGTGCGCGCCGCAACACACTACGGCTCTTTTAATGATCCGTCCCGCGTCCGGGTCCCCTTCCCGGACCCCGGCGCCTGGAGCGGGCTGGAGCCTGGGGAGGGGCCGCGTGTCCCTCGCACACTTCCACACTCACGCGCCTCGGTCCGTAGTACTGTAGGCAGGGAGTGGAGCAATGAAGCTGCACACTGGGCGCGTGAGAAGGGGGGCCTGCGCCAACTCGGCGGGAGTTTCACGCGTCCCAACGGGAGTTCAGGCTGCAAGATCCACTCCAAGAGGTCCACGCGAAGGCGATTAGGGGGTGGGCATCGAACGCGAGCGGCTCAGGCGCGGGAAACTGATGGTGCGCCCGCGAAGCGGCGTGGACGTGGAGGCGAGGGGCGCCCCAGGAGCCGAGCTCGGCAACGGCCGCTCGCTCGGCATGGCGATGCGTGGGAGCGAGCGAGTGCGAGCGAAGGAGGCCGAGCGCCGCGAGAGGAAGCTCTGCGCGCGGGCAAGGGCAGGCCGCCCGCGGCGCAGGACGGTCACCTTCCACACCATGACGGAGCGCAGGTTGCCACGACTGTCGTACCGCGTCCGCTCCTCGCTGTCCGACGGCCAACGCCCCACCTTCTCGATGCATTGCGGCTGGATCAGCCGGCCGTCTCGGCCGGTGAGGTTGAAATGCTCCCCGTCGGTGAGCTCAGCGATCTCGACGCGCTTGTCGAACTTGACACAGATGTGAAGCGTCTCCGGCGCGTGCGTGTCGGCGGGCCGCTCCACTCCGAAGGCGTACTCGCTGATCAGGCTGTGCGTCTCACCCCAGCCGCGCACCATGTGCAGGGCGTGCTCTGTGTCAATCTGTCCGCGGTAGCCCGCGCGATACGAGAGGGCAACGGCGGTCACCGGTGACGGAGCTGAGCTGCAGCAGAGGGCAGCGTTGGCGCGGTACGCCGTGATCGGCTTCGCCGGTCGCGAGTGGCCCTCATCATTCGTGCTATCGCCAGTTGAGCTCGACTCGTCGTCCAGTTGAGCACCGACCGGCGCCAGCAGCTGCCACGCCTTCTCCTTGGCGCAGTCGCTGAAGCCGCGACGCTGAGACTCCTCCGCTCGCTTCTTTGCCTCGACGTCCTCGACCTGAGCGTGAAGCCAGTCGCGCTGGCAGGTCTGCGGCATTGGCGACCCAGGCGTGGCGTATGCGGGGTCAGACGGTTCAAGTGTGCGCGCGAGATCCAACGATGCGTTGCGCGGAGCTCCCCATTGGCGGCCCGGTGGCGTGTGGTACAGCTCCGCCCCGCCAGCCGCTGACGACGGGCGTAGCGGGCTTCCCACCGCCATCGTGTCAGGCCCACAGAAAACGGCGGAACGTAGTCAGGGAGGCGATCGACTTTCTGCGGATTCCATGGAATTTTAACAAGACGATTTCCGTTCTTCTTCACAACGCTGCTCCCTATGGCGCTGCGCGCTGGCCTGCTCACACACACAAATGCATTCCGCTCGGGATTTTTCTTTCCTTCTTCCTTCTTTCTTGACCCCTCAAGTAGCTAACCGGTTTGGGGCAAGTTCTTGGTCTGCGAATGAACCTGTTCGATTGAGTTTTGCTGGGGCATTGACTGCTTGCTGGGCATATGACTGCAGCGCGCATGCAGCCTCAGAGAAATCTTTCTACCACGGACCATGCACCACTTCCGCTTTTGCTCTGCGCGTTGGTGACCGCATTGCTCTGCGCCTGGTCCGCGCGGCCAAGCTTCGCCCTGGGCGCCCGGCCTCTGGCGCAGTTTCGCATCGGCTTGGGTGCGGTCCTGCTGCTGCATCTGCACCAATGTCGGCAGGATGCAGCGGGCGCACTGTTCGGCGACGGCGGGGTGCTGTCACCACGCGTGTTCCAGGACGTTGAGATGCGCTGGGATCTGAACCCACGTTTCGCGGCGCGTCCAAGCCAGATGCTCTCCTTCGATACATGGAGCGCTGCCTGGGAATGGGCCTTGTTCTTGGATGCGGTTCGATTTATGTGCTACGGCGCCCTGCTGCTTGGCTATCGCACCAGCGCCGCAACAGTCGCCTCGTACGTGATGCGCACCTCCTACATGCCCATCCACCTCGTGCGTGACGGTGGCGAACAGACCTTGCATTGCTGCCTGTTCTGGGCCATGTTCCTCCCTATGCGAGGGCCCTGGCTCGGAGGCTGGTCATTAGACAGCAGGTTGCAGCGCGTCCAGGCCAAGGGAGCTGAGCAGTCAAGAGGAGCGGCTGCCGCCGCCCTGCAGCCAGATCCTGTGCGGGGACTGCCGGCGGCCTGTTATGTCTGCCAAATCAGCCTCATTTACACGATGGCCGGCCTCTGCAAGCTTTCCGACCCCAACTCGGAGTGGGTGCGAGGCACCACGATCGCCCAGCTCGTGGCCCCTCTCACTGGCATGAACAACAACCTTCTCACCCCCTGGCTCGCCAGCCTGCCGGACGGCGTGCTCCGCGCCCTCACGTTCGGTTGCGTCGCGCTTGAGCTGTGTGGAGGCCTGCTGTTGCTCGCCCAATCCCGCATGCCCAAGCTGTACGGCGTAGCATGGACTGGACTGGTGGCGCTCCATGCCGGAATCGGCCTCACACTTCGCCTCGGCATCTTTCCGCTCACCTCGCTGATCTGCCTGCTGCCCCTGCTGCCGCAGCGCTCACAACCGCCTCTGCTGCAGCAGCAGCAGCGCCGAGTCGCACTGCGCCCCGCGGTTAGGCTCGTGCGGGCAGCGAGGCCGGCGTTGCTCTGCATCAGCATTCTGCTGATCTGCAGCAACGTAACGTTCAACCATGTGCAATTTTGGCTGCATGGAGGCCTCGTGGACCGGCGGCACTCCACTGCGATCCCGTTCGCCCTGCAGTACCCACTGCTCCTCTCGGGCACCTATCAGCACTGGGATATGTTCGCGCCGCGTCCCGGAGACATTCATCAGTGCCCGCTGCTGTTCTGTGAGCTGAGCAACGGCACCCGACTCGACTTGCTGCCAATCCTCTCCCTAACCCCCGCACCGTGGCTGGGCTCCCGCCCTCAACCTCCACCGCTGCCTCAGCGTGTCACCACGCTGCAGGATCTCACTACATACTGCGTGGACCACCCAATGCATGCGCAGTCGCTATTCGACGGGCTTCGTCCCATCGTCGCGTTTCAAATTTTCATGATGAGCGAGACGCTGCTGCGTGAGTTGGTCCCAGATAAAGGTCATGCCAAGCATATTGAGAGGCATACGACAAGCGCCTTGAGCAGGTTGTGCTCCGAATTGTATGGCACTGATCGAGTGCTTGGTTTAGTCGCAGACATGCGCCGTCTGAGCAACACAGTGCCGGTGCAAGACGCGGTTCTCTTGGATCACGACAATGCTGTGATCCATTTTTTCGTGGACAACGGACGCTCGCCGCCTCCTCCGCCTCGTGCGCGCGCACACGCACCTGCACCAAGGAATAGGACTCGCAGGTCTCGCGTCATGCGGACCGCAATCCTAACGGCGATTGCACCCCGGAGGGCACCGTCGACACGGACTCTGACCCGCCCCCCGACTACCTCGACCCCGACTCGGACGGCGATGGCATCCCCGATGCCGAGGAGGGCACCGTCGACACGGACAGCGACAGCATCCCGAGTAGGTTACCTCAGGGGGGGGGGTCGCCACCGACGGCATCCCGAGTAGGTTACCCTCGAGCGGTTGAGGCTCGCCACCGCCTGCCTGGCTGGCCTGCTCTTTAGTCTATCTCGATCTACTCTCGTTTTAGTTAGCACTGCTGCTGCAGACAGGGCCCGCAGCTAGCTACTCTGATTATCTCGAGATACACACAGTAATACCTCGTCTGCCTCTGGCCGGCTGTGTCTTTAGGGCTGTGACGGCTGTGTTCGGGCGCCATCATGTCCCTCGCGGTTCGTGGGACGCGTACCGCGTAGAGCCGTAGCCGGGCCCTCGCTCATAAGTGCTCTCCGCATCCGCCCCGGCGCTTTATTCTGTGAATGTGCATGAAGAAAGTCAGGAGGAACACGGGATGGACGGACGAGTCCGCCTCGACCGCTGCTGAGCGCGATGGCCGGCACGAGCGATGCCACGAAGCTATCAGGGTATCTGCATAAGAGCCACAAGGGCTCTGACGCCCGTACAGAGAAGCGCTGGTTTATCTCTGACGGCTTTATTGTGTCCTACGGACGGATGATTGGCTCTGTCTTCGCGAGCACTGGGAAGTGCACCCCGTGCTTGCCCGAACCATCAACACTTACCCATGTTGCCTACCTAACTCCCCCTTTCCTCCCCCCCTCGCCCCGCAGGTTCGATCTGCAAAGCGTCAAGTCCCTCAGCGAGCCAGAGCCGGGGGTGCTCGTGCTTGAGCTGCTGGACAAACCGCACCCAATCCGCGTCTGCATCGTGGAGGACGCGGCCAAGGAGGCCCCAAAGTGGCGGAAGCTATGGGCATCGGCCGTCGATACGACAGCACTTAGCCGAGAGATGGTAGAGTGGAGGGACGAAAGCCTCGCCGCGCTTTTTCGTCCGAATGCACCGAAGCGGTCTCGGGCACCGAAGCCGCAACCGACCAAGGCAGCCAACACGCCAGCACCCAAGCCCGTCGCTATGCCAGCCCCAAAGCCCGCATGGCATCCTCCAGCTGATTTTTCTGTCCATTTTCCAGAGACTACCACTGCGGCTTCCGAGGCACCGGCGGCTAGCACGGCTGCACCCGCAGCCGCTGAGCCATTGGTAGCTGCACCGCCGCCCGCGGCCGCCCTGGGTGACTTAATTAGCGTTGATGATGATGGTGGGGCTGTCCAGAGCAACAGCGAACCACATCCTTCGCCACACTGGTCAAGGTCCGCATACCGCATGCCCAAGGTCATGATGGACCCGTCACTCGATGCAACGCTAAATACGACGCTCGATGCGACGTTCGACGCAACAATGGACGACCTGTCCTCGCGCACGGATAGGGATGCTCCCTCTCACAGAGACCCTGCCTCTCTCTCAGAGGGCAGGCAGCCACGCCTATCCGAGGTTGCCGAGGTGGCCATCAAGGAGGAGCGCGTGGCGGATGCGCTGGCAGCCGCGGAGAACGAGGAGGACAAGCAGGCTGTCAAAGAGGTGGGCCTACTTTGTCCGAGATCACGGGATATCGGACAATGCGCCCCAGCGGCAGTGCTCGCTACTTCTCCACTAGGCGATGCACGCCGCTTATGAGCCTCGGCGTCTCGAGTGGATGGCGTACCACGCCTCCCGAGGGGAGTACACGGAGGCGATCGCTCTCGCGGCCGGTCCGGACGAGGTCGCAAGGCTCGAAGAGGCGCGGAGCAAGGTTCTTGCCGGTGGCAGCGGTGGTCATGGCCTTGCTGTGGGGCTGATGCGGCGCCGTTCGCTCTTGAAATCGCGACCTTGTGCAACAGGCGAGATGGATGAGGCGCATAGCCTACGAGCGGTGCTCCGCGACTCGTGGCAGCGGTGCGTTGGACGGTGCATGCCGCAGGGGCAGGGGCACGTTCCCCTCCTTGAGTCCAGCTGATTCCTTGCGTTTCCCACCGCCCCCGCCCGCGATGATAGCGTCACCCGCTCACTCACAGAGACAGTCTTGCCCTCTTGGGGCCAGTGCTTGAGGTTTGTGTGTGCATGGAGTGCGCGGCTGACGCGCCACCGCGCACCGGCCACCGCGCGCAGTGACCAGGCGAGGGTGTCGGACCAGGCGAGGGTGTCGGTCTGCCGACACCGCGACGCGGCGCGGGTGCAGCGCCCACGCACCGACGCAGGCAGCCTCCCAAAGGGACCCGATTTACTAGCCAGAACATCGAGAAAACATCCACAACTCTATCTAGACACGAAGACACACAGCTAGCAAGACAGGAGGGCGGACAGAGAACATGAGTCATGGCATGCAGAGGTCAGAACATCACGATCTGACAGCCGAAACAAAAATTGCGGTGGGCGCTCGGTGCACAGACGCGCTCGACCAATCGAGCTCGTATGTGTGCGAGACAGTGCAGAGGCGCCGACAAGGCGAATGCCCCGACTCCCGAGGGGCACACACGCCCGTCTCCGGCTCATTGCGCACTACTGCGCGAAGACGGGGCCTTGGACCGCTCCAGCACCTCTGCCAGGCTCTGCGGGCGGCCAATCGCCTCCTCCAGCGCCACGACGACCTTCGCAAACTCAGGTCGCGCCCTGCTATCGCTGCTCCAGCCCGCTGCCATCAGCGCCTGTACGTCGCCGGGCCATTTGCCGCTGAGCAGCGGCCGCTTGCCGTTGCGGCACGCATCAGCGAGGAACGTGTCGGGAGTCATCCAGCTGAACGGCTTCTGGTGCGACAGAAAGTGGTAGAGCAGAGAGGTGAAGGAGAAGACCTCCGCCTTGTGTGCAGGGCGAGGCTGCGTGAGGAGACACACCTCGCCGCGAAGAGCCTGACACCCTCCCCACCTTGTGGTTGCATGGCGCTGCCTCTCCCCATCTCTCCCCATCTCTCCTCATCTCTCCTCATGTGGTCGAGTCCCCGAGTGTGGGTTCGAGACGTGTTCACACCAGTGTGCTCGGTCCCGACCCCACAGTGATTTCTTTTTCCAGGGGGGTGGTGCGTACGTCCCAGTATGGATTGGTGGTGCGTGACGGTGATCCATATCCCCCCCCCCCCCCCCACCCACACACCTTGTGGTTGTACGGCTCCTGAAGCGCAACCTCTGGCGCCATGTAGCGCAGCGAGCCGGTGAGGCCGGTGAGCTTGCGCCGCTCGTCGTCGCTCGCGGCAGAGTCAACCTGCAACCGGGCGGCGAGGCTGGTGGAGGGGCTGCGGTGGCCGGGATGTTGAGACGAGGTCGAGACGCGTTGCGCGGCGGCGAGGGAGGCACATACGCTACTCATGAACCGCCAGTCGCTCTCCCCGTGGCAGAAGCGGAGGGTGGCGGATGGCCGGGATGGCGGTGGAGGCGAGGGGGGAGGTGGGGGCGGGGAGGGGTGCGGTGACGGCGCGTGGGGGCGAGGGCGGTGGCGGCGAGGGCGGTGGCGGCGAGGGCAGTGGCGGCGAGGGCGGCGGCGGCGGCGAGGCTAGGTATGGGCGGCAGTGGCGATGGAGGAGTCCATCAGTGTCGCCGCTCCGGGCGGGTGGCAAGCTGCGACGCTCGCCCTGCGCGCGTGCTGGCCCCACGGCATGGAGTGTGCGGCTGTCTCTCGCCGCCGGAGTGTGCTGCGCGCGCGTGCAGCCCGGCCCGGAGTGCGCGCGCCTTCCACAGCTTGCACAGCCCAAAGTCGGCGAGCACGATGCGGCCGTCCGCAAAGCAGCCGATGTTGTCCGGCTTGATGTCTCGGTGCAGCAGCCGGTAGCCGGGCATAAACTCGTCGTGGCAGTAGCGGAGGGCGCGCGCGAGCTGCAGGCCGACGGCGACGCCGCGCGAGACCGGCCACTCGCGGGCCGCCTTGGACGTCTTCCATGGCAGCGCCTGGAAGCAGGGGAGACAGGGGGGGGAGATGTGGGGAGATGTGGGGGGATGTGGGGGGATGTGGGGGGATGCGGGGAGATGTGGGGGGATGTGGGGAGACGTGGGGAGATGTGGGGGGGTGTGGGGGGATGTGGGGGGATGCGGAGAGATGTGGGGAGACGTGGGGAGATGTGGGGAGACGTGGGGAGATGCGGGGAGATGTGGGGGGATGCGGAGAGATGTGGGGAGATGTGGGGAGATGTGGGGAGACGTGGGGAGATGTGGGGGGGTGTGGGGGTGTGTGGGGGGGTGTGGCGCGGGTGTCGGGCAGGGGCGGGTCGCGCGAGGGAGAGTGGCGGGAGGCTGTGTCGACAAGGGACGCGCTGTCTCTGTGCTGCGCTGTGCTGTGCGCTGTGCAGTCTCTGTGCTGTGCTGCGCTGTGCTGTGCGCTGTGCTGTCTCTGTGGTGTGGTGTGCTGTGCGCTGTGCTGTGCATGCGCTCGGCCGGCGAGCGCTCTCCCCATCTCTCCCCATATCTCCCCATATCTCCCCACGGCTCGCCACGTCCGGCGAGCGCTCTGCAGCTTCCCAGTCTCCCACCGAACCCTCCCGCCACCTTCAGGCTGTGCACTCTCTCCATATCTCCCCATATCTCCCCATATCTCCCCATATCTCCCGCCACCTTCAGGCTGTGCACTGGGTATCTCCCCCATATCCCCCATATCTCCCCATATCTCCCGCCACCTTCCGGCTGTGCACTCTCTGACCCCTCTCGGCCATCCAACCGAAAGGCTGTGCACTCTCTGACCCCTCTCGGCCATCCAGCCGAAAGCAGCGCGGCTCTGGTGACGTGTCCCTTCGGTGGGCGCGGGGGGGGGCGTGGGCGCTGGTCTATGCCTGTGCTTACAGCGCCCGGTGTGTGCCGCCGCGAGGCAAAAGTGAGGCGGCGGCGACAAGCCACGCGGGGTTGGGATGGCGGGAGGAGTGAAGAGGAGGAGAATCGGAGGGGGGGGAGAAGAGAGGGGAGGGGGGGGGGGGGGGGCCCCAAAAAAAAGGACCCGGAGGGGACTTGGAGGGAAAAAAGGTCCACCCCCCCCCCTTGCCGGGGTCTGACTTAGTCGGGAGCAAAAAGCTGAAAGGGTGGGCGAAAAGGTCAAAGCAGCCAAACGGCATCCCGCGGTCCGGTGCCCAACCTACGGCAAAAAGCCCCAAGAAAACCTGGTGTGAGGCCAACGGCGCCGGGAATGGCCCGGCCCCCGGTCCGCGGAGAAAGGGGCGGGGCGAAAGGACGAAGGCTTGCCCAAAGGCTCCAAAAAAGGAACCCAGGAAGGGAGGGAGGGAGGGAGGAAGGGAGGAAGGGAGGGAGGGAGGAAAATATCCCCAGGTGAGGCGAGATTAGGCCCCGGGGG